ATCGAGTCAGCTATTTTTGTTGGGTCGATTCAGCGCTGTAGGATGGGTCAGGTGCATATTAAACACTCCGACCGGACCGAGTAAGATAAAAACATCTGACCAGACCCGATCAACACCAAATCAAACAACCCCTAACTTTATTACCTATACCAAGACATGTACAATCTCTAGCTCTAGCAATTTAATGGTCATAAATAATTAGGAATACAAATTTCATGCAATCAATGGCTAGTTAACTACAAAAAATTTGAGGGAAATGTAATATAGATAGAAACATTAAAATGTAAGGATTAATCTAGCAAAAACAAGTAAAAAGAAACATTAATAATCATAGATCTAATATTAACTCATAATAAATTGAGGTTCATCTGCACTAAACAAAAGCAAATGGTATTAGCCCATGATTGTAAAAGAAAAACAACTAATTAAATAGTTAATTAAACTAAACATCATGCAAACCGAATGCTTGTGTCGATTTCTTGCTAGTCACTCTTCTTCTCTCTTCCTCTTTGTCAAAATCAGGTCTTCTAGGGTGCATCCAGAAGTATTGTAACATCCCAAAAAGTGTAAGGTAAAAATTTCATTTTTAATTCAACCAAAACATTGATTATCTTTAAGTCTACATTCAATATCCCTTTACTAAATATTCAAAAGTACTTTATAAGAAAACAATTATCAGAGTACAATCCCAAAATCATCATAATGTGGAAACATGGGTGGATGCGCTGCGATCAAGTCGGACTCTTCCCTTTTGAACAAGAAATACCTGAAACCATAACCATAAAAACCGTAAGCACAAAGCTTAGTGAGTTCCCCAAAATACCACATACCATACATAACAAACATATACTAGGCCCCCATCCTTCATCGGGCCCCGCCCGGGATCGAGTCCCACTTGGCCTTGGGCCCCGCCCGACATCAAGCCCCGTTCGGATTACAAATATGTTAATCACCAGGCCCCGCCTGACATCAAACCCCTCCCGATACACATATAAGCATGTAAACACATAATCATACTAACACATGCGATAATCACAAAGATAATAACATACAATACAGTCATCGGGCTTCGCCTGACATCGAGCCCTGCTCGGTATACATAACAATGCATACACATGCAAGAGTCACACACACATACATCTAACATCCTAACATAATAAACCATGAGCCGGAATTAGTGCCTTCGATTCGCTAAACACAATGAGGAAACTCACCTCAAGCTTCCGAGTACCTCTCAGATAAATCTCTGCCTCCTGGTCCGATAAAATCCCCACGTTATCATTACCAACAACATCCAATTAATAATTAGATCCCGACTCATAACTAAGAGTCTAAACTAGGGTAAAAGACCAATTTAACCTTTACCCAACTTGACCCAAGGCCAAGGCCCAAACCAACTACTCAAAAAGGCCTAATTCCAAAAATGGACACCCAAGGCCCAAATATGGCCGAATCTTTCAAATTGGGACCAAACCCTTCGTGGGCTTTCAACCAAAAGAACCTAACATAATCACATTTTAAAACATAATAACTAAGAAAAATTGACATAACCATTTTATTGATGAATTTATTTTGCTAAAACATACATACAAATGAGCAAAGTTAGCCAAAATATTAATTTACAATCTAAATATTATTTGTTTTTTTTGTTTTTATTTATATACATAAATTTGAACATAGATTTGAATATTATTGTTTATTTATTAATGCTAAATCATTTATTATATTTTTTTATGTGATTATTAAATTCCGGATAGTAATCTTAGTGATTGACCCTATTATGTTAGGCTTTATAGTATTGATATTACACTCGACACCTATAGTAGTAGTAGTAAGGATTAATGTAGAAAGATTGTGTATTAGATTTTATTTATCATTTTATAATGAAGTAGATAATAGTTGCTAGAAGTTTGGTTCTATTCTTTTTACTTTTAGTTACATAATGATGTTCAATTTTGATTTATCTCCTATTACATTATTTTGGTAATTATTTATTTCAGGTTTTATTCAAACAAAAGGCAATAGCAAAGAAGTGATTGGGACGTGAACATATTTGATTCTACTTACCTTTTTAATGTAATTGACTAATTGAAAATTTAATAATTTATTGTAAGTTTTGTTTTAACAAACTTCATCAAGCTTGAGTTTCACGATTAGTTTTTAATTCAAATTTGACATTTTCTCAATTAAGATGCCAGTTTGGTTACACCCTACTTAATTAGTGAATATAACATTTGCATTTTATATTGCAAAATTTAATCAATAATTTTGCAACCCAAAATGCGACGACTCTGAATGACATCCCATCATGGTGGGTCAATATCTTTCTATCGTCTTTTAAATGTGCATTTGAAAAAACATTTTTCGTAGAAAACTTTTTTTTCCAAAAAGAAAGGATGCTTAATTTGAGTTCAAATAACTAATCTATTACTCTTAATAAATCTTAACATTTAAGAATCATCAAATATTTAATAATGTCATTTATGTTATTTTAAGTTGTTAACTAGTGTACAATACGGATTATTTTGCCCGTCATTTCTGGAGCTTAGTGTCGTTTTTCTGTAGATTTCTCCCTCTGCTAAATTTTTAATTGGATTTCAAAATTCCAACCAAAATTTCGGCACTAAATTCCCGATTTTCTCTATATATATCTAGGGTTTTAATTTGACATGGTGGAGTCCAATGGTTCTCGTTCGTTACCATTTTCACTCTCACATGACTATTTTGTTTTATCTTAGAAATCGAAACAGGTAATGCTCAATCTCCCTAATCGGCCATCATCACTCTCTACAGATAACCAAGCTCCATCTAATCAAAACGCTACTTTCACCACACAATTGTAAATTTTGTTTTAGGGCTTCGTTGGTATACAACTCAATTCGTTGATTTCTGATTTTAGGTATTTTGTAAGTCGATACATTAACGATATATAAATCACAGTTCATACAGATACCAAATATTTCATTATTTCCCATAGTTGTTTCACCCACATAATTCTCATCTCCTTCTGGATTTTACTTTAGTTTCTTAGGTATGAACATTGATTTGTAACCTTTTTAATTATGTTATGGAACTGAGAAGCATTGGCTGTTTTCTTCCCAGGTTACATACAAAAAGACGATTTTCCAGTTTTATTACGGGTTATAGAAGATGCACCCTAAGTGTTTGACGAAATGTCTCAAAGAAAGCTTGACCCAAGTTCACTACTATCATCTCTCATCTGGTATCAATTTCCCTTTCTCATGTTATGGATAAACATGTATTTGACGTCTCTCTCGCTCTCTCTAAACCATATTTGTATATATGTGTATATTTGGTATGCCTGCAAATTTGTTATAAGAAAAATAATTTTATTGTTATTGATGATTTATGTCAGGTAGTATGAATTAACTTGGAAAAAAGATTGTAATTTATATCATTATGAGATTAAATGTTATATATAAAAAGTAATAAACAAAACTCAACACGTTTTGACTAATGTTTTGTTGTCACCTACTGATGCATGTTTTTTTACATTGAAAAATGAGAAAGTTTTTTTATGTGACCTTTTAAGTTGTATATTTATTGAACAAGATGTTGGAAGTTCATAGGTATTATTATTTACCAAATTATTGTTTATTTATTTCATAGTTGCTTTTAAATGATTGGCATGAACAGATAGGAAATAGGCAAATAGGCACTTTGTCTCGGGGTAATTTGGGAAACTCAGCAAAACAAGGGGGATTCTTTGGTAGTGGAAGCACAACATTGGTATTTTACTTTGAAAGTACAATACTGTAATTTGGTATCCTTTTCATTTCTTATTTTTATTTTTTAAAAGGAACATTTCTGTTATTTTGTGTATTAGTAGAATATTAGTTTCCATGATGACATTTAATATTGTTAGCATTCCACTTTCAGTTTTACACGCAAGATAAATTTTTTGAAAGTATAGTGCTATAATATGAAAAACTGAAAGTGGAATGCTAAAATAATTTAAATGTCATCACAGAAACTAATATATTGGTAATACTCATAATTACATAAGCAGTCCTTATAAATTAAAATTTTACATATGAGGTCCCTAAGAAATAAGTTACAAATACAGATACATAAAACGTATATGTATCTATATAGCAGGAGAAAAATGGTCTTTTTTATTTAAAAATTGCTATAACATTATTAAATGTGACCACGGTTATACAATTCTACTTTTGTTTATTGTTTAATCATAGCCACATACACACTCAAATAGACAAGGTCACTGTTATAGCAAGAAATAGAACCTACTTTAATTCTTTTTAAACGTAACATGTAAGATATCGTGTTTCAAAGTACATGGCTATAATAAGGAAAACTGAAAGTGGAATGCTAACAATATTAATAAAAAAATCAACCGTGTAGCACACGAGTTATAACCTAGTATTAATAATATATCAAGAATACAAGTTTTTGATATAGCTTAGAGACACCTTATAGAAAAAAAAATATAATTCATTTCATATTATAAATAGTAAATTAAGGTGCAACATAAGACAACAAACAATCACTTATTGGTTATTTCATGATTTGAAAGGTTTGGTTTTCTTATATTTTCTTGCAGTATCCACCTATTACCCATGTTGCCATATGTTTATTCATTTTAATTTTGTACTTGGTCATTTCAACATTTGCAATTTGTCATTTCTTACATCCAAATTATTCGGTTACCGTGAGAAACAACACAAATACTAAACAGGAACATGAACATGAACATCCAAGAAAACTAACAAATTTTGAAATTGAAATGCTGGATGGTCCAAGTTTGTAGAAGAATTATCGAAAAGATGCTTGGCCCCTTGGAACAATTAGGATTTCAAAATAAAACCCTACATAATGGAAAATTGATATGTTAAGCCAGGTATATCACAAAATCAAGATATTATTACTTGTTTGAAACTAAAAAATAATTAGTATCACTATAACCGTTGAAGACCAATAGGAACCTAAAAGATGATATATTTACCGTTCATCCTATTCTTATGACCGTTCATGCTTTTGCAGTTTACAATGTGCAGCAATTCAAGCTTGTCATAGAAAACTGGTGATACTTGTTTTTTTCTTATTTATGATTCTTGTTTTTTTCTTATTTATTATTCTTACATTGGTTATGATTCTTATTCCTATCTATTGTTTAGGTTTGACAAAAATGGTGGCGGTGGAGGTGGCAGTGGCGGCAGCGGTGGTGGCCACCGCGGTCGCAAAGGCTCCGGCCGTGGTGGTGGCCGCTGCGGTGGCTCTTATGGCGGTGGCGGCCGCCGCAGTAGCGGTAAGAGATTGTTTTTTTCCTTAAATGTTTGATCTTTGCTTCATATCAACTAACCTTGCTTTAACGACTGAAGTCACCAAAAAATTATTTGCTGATTATGCTCTACCGCTCGGGAGAGCTGAGGTGGGAGACAATGTTGCACCATGAGCGGGATGCACAAAGGCAAACATTGGAGGGTTACCAGTATCGAAGGGGGTAAAATGCATGTTGAACTATAGAGTGGGAGGAAGACAGTATTGAGTTGCAAGTGTTTAATTTTTTTTTGTTTATTATAGAACTATGCCTTCTTATTGTATAATTAAAAGAATATTGGTCCACAGTTTCTACAGATAGCAAGTCGACTGCTTTGGAGATCATTAAGAAAAAGCCAAAAGGTTGGTATTTGTTTTTGTTTAATTTTTATGTTAAGGTTTTTATCATACTTATGATTTATTATTTTGTTTAGTGGTGGCAGCACTTGTGGTAGCGAGGTTAAACGCCGCCGTGGTGGCCCTGGTGATGGAGGTGGAGGCCATGATGATCACAGTGGTTTCAGTGGCGGGGATGCCAAACGTCCCAAGTTTCACTAATAATGTAGAATTTGTAGAAAAGAATTAGTTTTGATCAAAGTGAGATCTAGTACTTTTTTTATTGGTTTATTTTCTTAATCATATTATACACCAAACTTTGATTGTGGTTTCCTATGATCCTAAAACAATCCCATTTTTACCATTTTGAATTTTGCCAAAAATCCGTTTTTGATCAAAATTTCTTCATTTTATTCAATTTTTACTTACAAAATGCTTATTTTGCACCATTTTTTATATGATACCAAAACTTAGAAAATAGTTTTTAAATTTTAAGCTATTTTTGTCTTATAAAAAATAGGTCAAAAATATATTTTTATTAGACAAAAATAGCTTATAATTTAGAAGCCGTTTTCTAAGTTTTGGTATCATATAAAAAATGGTGCAAAATAAGCATTTTGTAAGTAAAAATTGAATAAAATGAAGAAATTTTGGTCAAAAAGGGATTTTTGCAAAATTCAAAATGGTAAAAATGAGATTTTTTAGGATCATAGAAAACCACAATCTAAGTTTAGAGTATAAATATGATTAAGAACACAAACCAATAAAAAAAATTACTAGATCTCACTTTGATCAAAACTAATTCTTTTCTCCAAATTCTACGTTATTAGTGAAGCTTGGGACGTTTGACATCCCCGCGACTGAAACCACCATGATCATCATGGCCTCCACCTCCATGGTGAAACACCACGACGACGTTTAACCTTGCTACCACAAATGTTGCCACCACTAAACAAAAGAACAAATCATAATTATGATAAAAACCTTAACATAAAAATTAAACAAAAATAAGTACCTGCCCTTCCGCTTTTTCTTAATGATCTCCAAAATAGTCGACTTGCTATCTACAGAAACTGAGGACCAATATTCTTTTAACTATGTAATAAGAAGGCATAGTTCTATAATAAACAAAAAAAATTAAACACTTGCAACTCAATACTGGGTTCCTCCCACTTTTTAGTTCGACAGACATTTTACCCTCTTCGATACTGATAACCCTCCCATGTTTGCCTTTGTGCATCCGCTCGTGGTGCAACAGTGTCTCCCACCTCAGCTCTCCCGAGCGGTAGAGCATAATCAACAAATAGTTTCTTGGTGAATTTAGTGGTTAAAGCAACGTTAGTTGATATGAAGCAAAGATCAACCATTTAAGAAAAAAAAAAACTATCTCTTATCGCTATTGAAATGATTTGTTTTTATATTGTTCAACCTGTCCACCGGACGGGTATAACAGTAGTTTATAATTGTTCAACCTGTCCATCGGCGGCAGCGATGGTGGCCACCACGGTCGCAAAGGCTCTAGCCGCTGTTGTGGGGGGACTGTTTATTTTAGTTTTGAGAATTTATCCGATTTTAGTTTGAGATATCCTCCATTGTGGAAAAATATGTGAAAGCAATGCATATCATAAAGTTAAAAATAGAAATAGTTGTAATTTAGTTACCTTTAATACCAACAACTTGTTCTCAAAGTTAAAATCAAATTCATTAGAATCTCCAAAGCACTTTTAATAGTTATAATGAAAAGTAGGTATTTTTATCAAGATGAAGACCGTTAATTGTGATACATTGAAATTATGAACACTTAAATTTAATACCATAATAGATGAAGCAGATAATGGTCATTTAGCTTTATCCAATTAAAAAAAACATACCATATCTCCTTGAAACATCTCGCCAAAATCTTCCAAAAACGACCCTTGCAAATATTGTCTTGGACTCCTGGCAGATAGAGATTTTGTAGAAAGATAGATGGTTTTCTGATTATTTGAAGGAAAAATGAACTACAATGTGTTTTTGTGTGAAAAAAGGAAAGGTAAATCTGTATGTTATGTTCAAAAACTGAGACTAAATTACCATTAGGGGTGACCTTATAGATCTAATTCTTAGCATTTTTCTTTGATAAATTGATTGTTGCAATTGCTACAACAGATATACACGAAATTAAATCTTCATAACATGGTTTTACTGAACACAAAATGAAATTCCCATAAATAGAAGTGAAAAAATATCGAACACCTGGAGGGTGTTGTCTTAAAGACTTGTCCGAGATTCTCCACCCCACCTTCCCCTTTTATTCAGCTGGCTGAATACACTTGTTAGCTTCTTCCACAATCTTATTTAAAGCTTTAATAGATTCCAAACGGATCTGGACAGAATCAACAGCAATGTTAACATGATTCAAGTCAAGTGGTTTTCATGCTTCATTATTTAATAAAGGGTTAAATGCAAGAAATATCAACATACTTACATTGTTTAATAAAAAATAAAGCATCCTACTTTCATTTCTTCCTATTACAGCAGTGTACTTTGAAAAATCTACCCAACTATAGCCTTGGCAGTCTTCATTGGGTAGATTTTTTGCAAAATACATTGTCCTAATAAAAAGAAAATCAAAAGCACAATGATACAAGCGAGTAGAACTTTAGAAAAAAAACAATGCCTTTTTAAGAAAACGATTAGTAATGGAATGAAATGAAAGTAGGATGCTATAACACACAAATAAATGGAGCTATGATGTTATTTCTTGTATTTAGCCCTTTAATAAAAAAACAATGCCTTTGCACTAATTTCCTCACATGGCAAGCTATCCAACCCACCACTAGAAGCAAATGGTGCACAATCTGATACCTTGACAGTGGGAAAATGACTCTCGAGTGTAATTAACTTTTGCGTTTGTATTCATTTGGTCCATTTTTTTTTGTATTCAATATACCATCGAACTTGTTGTTTGCGTTCACCATAACCCTTTTGACCGGCTTTTGACCTGTGATAGCCGGTCAAAGGGTTATGGTGAACACAAACAACAAGTTCGATGGTATATTGAGTACAAAAAAAAAGGAAAGAGACCAAATGAGAACGAACTCAACAGTTGGTTACCCTCCTGAATCATTTTCCCCGAAAAGTTAAATGAAATTAAAGTTGCAAAATTATCAAAGACTGCAACCTTCTTTGGCTATAATGTATATGAAGAGCGTTTCAAAGGGGTAACCTTGTTAAAACATGGTCTATACTATGCTTACTGTGGTTAGCTGTCAACACCTCTTTGCAAAAGGATATGACTGTGTATGAGAGGTATATTTATCAGCATAAACGTTTACCTCAAGGTATATTATGGTGATGTGTCTACAAAAGCAGCATGATATTGTACATATTGATGTTGTATCCTATCCCATGAATTCGATCTTAAAGCTAAGTAAACTAAAAAATCACAGCACTTGTGATTCCACTCGTTTGTAGACTTGTCTAGAATCCATGATACGATAAATCATTTGATTGGAAATGTAAATGTAGTCATCAAATGCGCTTGCTTAGTCAAGATTCCCCTAATAAATATTCAAGGGCATTACAAAGTTGTACATGTATGCATAATGTTCTTTCGTGGGTTATGTTTTGAAGAGAAGCAAGAATGAATCTCATAAAGTCATTAATATCAGTAGGAGATGACGTGGGATTTGCTGTAAATGAGTAAAGGGAAAATGATTCAGGAGGGTAACCAACTGTTGAGTTCGTTCTCATTTGGTCCCTTTCCTTTTTTTTGTACTCAATATACCATCGAACTTGTTGTTTGTGTTCACCATAACCCTTTGATCGGCTATCACAGGTCAAAAGCCGGTCAAAAGGGTTATGGTGAACACAAACAACAAGTTCGATAGTATATTGAATACAAAAAAAAGGAAAGGGACCAAATGAGTACAAACGCAAAAGTTAATTACCCTCAAGAGTCATTTTCCCCTTTGACAGTCTTCTTTACTGCAGCCGCCCCTGAAGGAAATAATAATTAAATACCTAACACTTTATATAAAAAAAGGTAGAAACAATAAGTGTCTAGAAATAGAAAACATGGTCAAACGGTCAAACATCATAAGGATTTTTTGACACTCTGCCTCTATCGTACTAAGAAGGGCAGACTTGACATCTGACAATAATGCTTTGATATTAGGACCAACAAAAATTTGTTTAATGCACCAATAAGTTTAATGGTGACATTTCTAGTAGCAGCTGCACTTGATTGTAAACAGGTCTCTTTGCAAAAGTCAATTAAATCTTTTAATTTAAGATGTCTAACACAAAAGTATTCAACTGCAGACACCATCCACAACAGACCCTCACTAAGAACCTTAGGGTTCTTGTGCTCTTTCATTATCTTGAACATCTACAAAAATAAACAATTAAATAGATTTAATGTCAGATTATTGAACTGGAAGAACACAAACTTGATACACTTACTTACCCTTTGAAAGATAAAACCTGCGCCCATGGTCTCAGAGAAAGTGGTTTGACATTTCATGGCTTGAGCTCGAGTCTTAATATCAGCCACTCTTTCACAAATTCCTGTGACCGAGCAAAGGTAAAGTTCCAATGTGAAACACATTCATAAAGCCATCATTTTTTTTATAAAATATGTGATCTTTTTACCTGTTATGCAAAGTACAACACATTTTTTTGGGAATTTAGATGTTGTAGAAGCTATATGGGTGACAATTTCAATGAGTTGTTGGACACTGCAAAAGTGTATTTTAAGACATGATTAGGTCATACCTCAAATGACGGATACTGCAACTGGCATTCAACTGTTTCATCAATCTTTTTCTACAAATGGAAAAACAAAACATTAATCATAGAAGAGACTTTTAGGATTTATAATTACCATTTGAGTTTTTATGAAGTAATAAGAAGTTAAAAATCAAAATTATCACCTTGGCATATGAATGCTTCTGCAAATCAACAAATATTTCACCATGAGAATCTCTACAATCCACACTGTGAAAGGCGACTCATTTTGATAACTTCTTGCATTTTTCATTCACTGATTTCTGTAGTATCAGTGACTAAGAAAAGATTAGTTCCTATGAATGCAAATAAGATAGAGTCAATTAATAAGAAAGAGAATATACTTTGGCAACAAGTAAGCAACAATTGATAACCACAACATCAAACTTTTCAAAGAATTCAAACAAATACAAAACCCCTTGATTGTAAATCATAACTCAGTCATTATGCAATTAAGAGAATAGAAACACAGTACCAGTC